GGCCTCAGTTACAACCGCCTTTCCAACTCGGGCCATGACAAAGTTGCCGACTGCCTGTTTTTCTGCCTTTGCGAACTCAAAACATGCCGCGTCCGTTGTTTCAAAAAAAAAAACAAGAAGAAAACAATCCCTTCATTGTGAGGTAGCTATGCCTTCAGGGGTCCCCTGTCGTACAATAGGCTTAGGAGTAGTGACAGGCAGATAGTGAAAGGTGAACTGAGAGAAGAATATAGCTTAAAAAAAAAAAAAAAAAAAAAAAAAAAAAAAAAAAAAAAAAGAATATAGCTTAGTTAAAGTTGGTTTTTGAAAAGGTGACGGCTTTGAGATATTATCTTTGAAATGATTGGCCAAATCCACAGGTGCTTTTGCTCGTCTGATTCTATTGGAATTTTGAATTCTAGTCTCTGGGTCTCGTTAGGCTTGGACCCCACAGGTTTCCGCCTTGGAAAAACTTTGCCGCGGAAAGTTTTTTGGTACCCCACAGGCTTGCGCAAAGTCCGTGGAAGGCCGTTTTCGTTTTCCAAAACCCTGTTTCCGGAACCCCACACCCGGAAATGTGGCCTTGGAAACGCCCCTTGTTGTGTTTTCACTCGGTCTCCGACCTGGAAACCACTGCGGGAGGAAAAGTCGCCGCGATTTTGTGCAGGGTAGCGAGGGCACGGTGAAGGGTACCCTTCAACCTTTCCAAGGTCGCGGACGAAATGTGGACCTCCCTGTGTCCGTTCGCCATTCCGACGAGGACCTGGTGCACGGACGAGCAGGATTCCTTGTCGCCCACTGCGTACGGCCGTTTGGAAGGGTACCGGTCCCACTCGCGGAGGGAAAAAAAAAATACCGCTCTTTCCGTCCGTTTTCAAAATTTCGAATTTCGAACTTCCCCTCCCACGTGCAGCCTTGGTGCGGACATGCAGGCGACGTGGGCCAGCCGTGTCAGCTGCGGGTATCTGCTCTGCTGTGGGAGAGTACAGACAGTTCGGCGACGCACGGGCGGATCGCAGCAGCCATATCCGAACGTCGGCCAAACGCCTTCCCATGCAGAGAGTCGGATTCCTCCATCGATAACTTCGGCCTTGGTCCTCGCTTGCCACCTCTGCACATGGTCTGGGTCGTCGCCTGCTTCATGTTGCGAGGGTATCGGATTGCGGGTCCGCGGAAAGCCATGCATTCCATGCACGGACTTTAGCAGGCGGGCGTCTCGACTGTGGCAGTCGGCTATGGTGCGCCCATGCACCTGCAAGCGAGGTTATGACGTTGTTGCGCGGCAGCCGTTCGCCTGTCATATCCGGTTGTTGGAGAAGCTTGTCACAGGCGAACGGTGACATCGCCGCCATCTTGCCTAGGCTTCCTCCTCGGGTGACAGTCCGAGCCGCGGAAGTGCGAGGGTGGGATGTGGCGGATGTGCGAGGGGCCGGCGGACAGCCCATCTTCTCGTTTGTGCCACTGCCGTTTCCGTTCCAGCTTCCTGGAAGAGCACCGCCGGACACGTCGTTCCCCATGCACCATCGCGGAGTGTGTGCACCGACCGCCATCGTCATCGAAGGGGGCCATAGATTTCGTTGTCGGCGGAACATCGTCGCTGTGTTCGTTTGGGCGTTCGTCGTGTGTCTTGGTCTCGCGGTGTTTTTGTTGTCGGTACTTGCTGTGTGTGTGGCCGCAGTTCTCGTGACCATCCTGTCACGGCGGGGCTGACCTCGGCTGTGGCGTGTGGGAGTCGGATCTCTGTGAGCGGTGATAGCTATGGATGGTGGCAGTTTCACCTCGCAGTTGTACAGTGAATCGGGAGGGTCGCAGGGCGTGGAAGTGTGTGAGGACATGGACGCGCATTTGAAAAGCAGCAGATACCGGGCGAGCCTGTCGGCAGCGGCATGGCAATACGTGCCGGACTCTCAATTGTCCGGTGACACACGATCGCAGTTTGTGGCACGATCCGCGGATCCCAGGGCCGCTTACATTGTGGGGTCGATGGACTCATCATCGCCCTTTGCCCGGGGGACGTACCCGCCACAGTCGCAACCTTGCGACATGCAGCCATCCATAGGTGGAACTGCCTTCCATTCTCCGCAACCACACACTGGAAGGGGGGGATCTTCAAGGACGGACGCGGGGGCGTGGGGGAGTAATCCACAGCAGTCGTCGCAACCATCATCACACCGGCCGCAATGTATGTCGCCTTTAGCGCAGCCTGTTGTCAGCCGCGGCGTTGTGGGTGGTGGCGAGACCTTTGTGAATGGCAGGTCATCTCCGATTGATCAGGGCTACCGACAACAAACTCCAATGGGGCCGGGTACCATTCGGTACGACGATGGAGGTGCAACTGCCCCTACGCCAGGTGGAGGTGATCGCCAGTGGGGCAGCGGGAGCCGGGGAGTCCATACACCACCATCGGGTGATTGCCGATCAAGGGACGGTGAAAGACTGTCCTTTTCGCATCCGACTGTAGGTGTGGACAGTGTTCCAAGTGAACGACAAGGGCGAAACGTGTCAAACACAGGTGGAACTCAAGACATAAGTGCGAGAAGTCGGGAATGCAGCGTGGAAGACGGCGGAAGTGGTCGACCGCCGAAAGAAGGTGGTGCTGGAGAGCGGCGAAAGGGGGGGAAGTCCACGGCGGCGCCGAAGAAGAACACCCTGTGGACTCTAGAGGAGCGAGTGTTGTTGGCGAAAATCAGCAGCGAGGACGATGCTCTCATGGATGATGCAGAAGGAGCTCATTCACTCATGACAAGGGGCAGGCGTTACGATTGGATATCGGACCGCATGAAGGAGAACGGGTATGCACGCACATGAGAAGATTGCCGAAAGAAATGGACGGAGCTGCAAAAAAAGGTTCGGGAAATAAGGGATGCATGCGATGGATCGGGCAAACAACCATACTGGGATCTAACAACGGAGGAGAGAAAGAAATTGAACATCCCCATGACTTTCGAGCCGTCGTTGTGGGATGCGATGGAGTGGTACCGGCTAAAGGCTGCTTTCACCATGGACAACACAATGACGTCTGAGGAGTTGAGAGGGATGGGTTTTGCAACTGCCAGCGAGGCGGGGTCAGAGGGCGAACTCCGGCTGAAGGGAACAGAGACTTCAGGTGGCGCACGGAAGACTCGGAGGACGAACTCCGGGAAAGTTCGTGGTTCCAATGTCGGGCAAGGTGTGTCGGCGATGGCGCGGCTATGGAGGACACGAGCCGAAGACTGTGCGAAGGTCTGGACACAGCTGCTGGGACGTTGGCTTCCACTACCACAGAAGGGGCCGCTTTGATGGCGGCACGGCTGGGCGACATGGCAACGAAGATCGGCCACGTCGCGGGGGCAATGCGGCAGGGGAACTCCGTTTTGGAGTTGCTCGTGGGTGTGATGGTAGGTAGACGTGGCGGACAACCTGCCGGGGAACAAGGGGGG